AGCCGTAGTCCGTAAACTATGATTCCTACAAAATTGATTCATAAAGAACGGAACGTATCTACCGTCTTATAGGGGGATCTACTGTATTTATATATTGATATAGTTAACATAGCATTTAATAGTTTGTTATTTGTTGTGGGTTTTGTTACAATAGATCTTAAATTTTATGAAGAAATTTCAAGGAAAGAAAATTGGATTCAGTTGTGGAGATTGTTTTATGTTATCGAAAGAAACTCCTGTAGAGGTAAGACGTATTTAAATTTCTTTTTATTTAAATGCATTAAGGCATGTTCGATAATAGTTACGAGGTCATAATTTGAAGACCGTGGCAGAGGCTTGCCTAGTTTACAACTGTTGTGCTGGCGCTTAGCATCTGTTGTCATAGTGTTCATGATGCGTTTATGAATTGTGGGGGATCTACTGAACGTTTATCTCAACATAGTAAAAAAACGGTTACAACCTCCATGTAAACAGAAGCCAACAATTGGCCGAGTGGATAAAACCACTGAACACTGGTCATTGGCCTCTTGCCAATGTGCTGATCAGGTGGAGATTTCCCGGTCTTTCTTCACGTTTATAACTCCTAAATGGGTCAGTTTCCCATTGAAAGTCCTCCTCGGCTGTTGTTTTTTTCTCAGTTCTTCCTGGACTCTTGCTTTATTTCTTGTTGGACGAGAATGGCCACTGGCCCCACTGGCCGTTGCTTTGTGGAACATATTTCTTCAAAATGTGCTAAGGGTGAAAAGAATAAATTCTGTCGTTGTGTGATACAGTCGGTGGGTGAGCAGACCCGCCACTTGCCACCTTCTGCTTTATGAACTTCATTGAGGGTTTCATCTACGAAGTTGATAAAATCATTTGCTAAAATTCCATAAACTTTTGATTTTATTTCATGTATAATATGATGATTTAACATGAAAAATTGATATTATTTTATTTTTTCAGGTGTTCAATGCATTATACACCGTATTCAACATGTTGCTTAACATACGTGATATCATGTTGGGAACAACTTCAGCATGCATAGATATTAAACCTACGTCACTGTTTAATACCACTTATAGTATGTTACAAGAGTAAATGTCCTTAAGTCCGTAACAAACACACATTACACGGAAGCGTAAAATATAGTGCTAAATTGCACTCATTACTTATGAGTCAGATGGTATAGTGCTAAATTGCACTCATTACTTATGAGTCAGATGGTATTGTTAAGTAACAAATAATAATTAATCGTATATTTATGAAATAATAACAGCTATATAAAGACTTGTGAAGAAACAGTGTGTCTACAACGATCTTTTGATCCAAGTTTATGTCCCGCAAGAGGGATTGGGGGAAAAAGTATATGTTTTTTCAACAACAATTGGAGAACACAATTTTATTCAAAAAGCCTATTGTCATGGGTGAGAAATGGGCAAGTTGGTACAGAAAGAGAGGAAACAGAAGATATCTTGGGATCATTCGGATAAGAAGAGAAAAATGACGAAGGAAAACGATTGTTAGATCTATGTAACAGTCATATATATTGTCGGGATAAAACTATTGAGTCGTCATAGACGATTCAAAAGTTGTATCCCGATTTGGTTAGTTTTGGTAAGAAACTATTGGTAAAAATCTGGTAGTTTTTTGTAAGAAACTACCAGATTTTTAGATATACCTCGTAGTACAAAGGATATCCATGATTTCTTTCCATGTTTGCTCTAGCAAGTTATTCGTGACGATGGCATTGGCATTGAGCAATTCGGTCTCGTAAGACTTGCAGATTGATCATTCTGGTGGTATAAATATTGTCGTTAAGATAACCTGACAGGAAAAAATCTGGGACAGTGGTTTCGGGGAAACAAGGCGGCCAGTAAATTACCTACGATATTCACTCCATCATCCCAGAAAAGTGTCGTTCGGAAGACATATCTGTAGTGTACAATAAAGTGTTGTCATGTTGAAAGTTAACGTGTGATCTCGAATTTCGAGTAATTACAGAGAAATTGCGAAATTGAAAAATTCGATGCTTTTTTACGAACCAAGTTATTTAAAAACAAAAGAATAAATGGTTTAATTATATTCCTTATGTAACAATTAACGTAAAAACAAGAATCATTATGGTCTGTTTGGGGGAAAACAAAATGCTTCAACACGTCCAGGTAGTTTTTAGCTGTCGGTGCTGACAGCGAAAGCTAATAACTAGCTGGACACGTTGGAAAAATCGCAGAAGAATAGACCAAAAGCATGTCTTTTGTCGTGTCTCAGGCCACATCAGTTTTCTTCAAGAGTGTTAAGTACACGTTTACAGCGTGCAAATTTTCTGAGCACTAGATGCGCATGTTATGTCAATTTGCATTTCCAGAGACATAGAAAATGGCCTCGTCTGAGAACGTTGCCATATCCAGTAATCTTGCTTTCGTGTCAATTTGGCCCAGTATAACTACAGCAAACAATCGCCTTCTTGGTTTGTCATTAGATTTGATTTTTCGCAACATTGGATCTTGTAGGCATATAGTTTCAGCCGTGTGCGTATTACATTTGTGCATCTGCAGCTCACAGTATGTTTTCGGAATCGATTTGCATGAACTCTCGAAGAATTCATGACGCACATGCTCTACGTGATCGTCGTACACTCTTGTTTGATGTATCTCTATGCACATTGTTGCCGGCAATTTTCAATGCTTTTCACTGATACTCTTAGAGCCTGGAAGGAATTTTGTACACACATGTTGCAAGTGACTCTGCACAGAAATTACAGAGTTACAGCCACAAAACCATTCCACTGCTTGAATCTTCTCCTGGGTAGTTTGAACATCGCTTGTTCTTGTAGGGTTCAAACTGTGCTGAATAAAACTTGATATTGTAATTCTACCTATGCCTCCCATCACGTTTTGGTGTACATCATACCGAACTTTTCATAATAATTTTAACTCCGGGCGGATGATTGTGGCTATTCTGTAAATGTAAATTATATAAATGTATTAATATGTAAATGATATCGTTTACGACAGGGGTAAATTTACCGTTCTGCTTCTCGTAGGCACTGAAAATGGCTCAACAGTGCCGTTCCCTAAACATTAAGAGTTCGATGGTGAGTTCGTGTTTCGCCAGGACGGGCTGATCACGTGGAGTTTTCCGGGTTTTTTCTACGTCTTTAACGCCTGAATAGGAGCGAGTTATTCTTAAAAGACCTCTCGGAAGGCCTTATTTCCAGCGTAAAAACAATATATAACTACTCACCATGTTACGTAACAGTTTCGTCTTACCACCATAGCTTACTACCTCTCACCCAACGCGTAGACAAGACAAGGAACGATAGATTTTGCCACTTCTAATGATGTGTCTCAGACATTAATTAGAATAAATAAAAAGTATTTTACGTGTTTAAAATTAATGTCTTTATTGCTAGTAAATTACCAGATCGTATTCCTAAGTGGAAAAAGTAATTTAAAATAATTAATATATATATTTTTTTGTATTAAATCTACGACAACACACTTCTTACAATGCTGTAGATATCATAAATAGTACAAAGTTTTTCATTTGTAATGTATGTATATATATATTCTGTAGTAAATCATTAATTATAGTATCACTGTGGATTATTACTGTTGTGTATTTATTTTTTAATTTGTATAAGTTTGTATTCCTCGCATCTTGCGTATAACTATTACGCATGAATAAATAAATAAAATAAAAAATACAAGTGGAAAACAAAGTAAATAGTAGAAATGCACATGTAGACGCTTTAAATTGTCTTCGCTTGTTTATTCCACTCTGTTGATACGTAGAATGGTATGGTCTCACTTCAAGCTGACATTCATTGCACTGATGTCGATTTATCTTAAATCCATATCCTTTTCTCTGTAAGCAGACAGTAACTGAGTGGCTAAAACAATTAACAACTAGTCACAGGTTCTTGCCTGATTAACGGGTTGGCCACGCAGAAGTTTCCTGATTTTCTTAATTTATCTAACACTTAATTGGGATCAGTTTTCCATATAAAGTCTTTCCCGGAAGCATCCTTCCTTAGCAGATCGTGAAAGATTTGAATGCCTAATCCTTTTTAATCGTACAACATAATGCAACATGTTTTGTATGTTAACCATGTTAACCTTTTGCTATGTGTTTTCCTTTGTTTTTGCTTTCCCGGAAGTTGTAAAATAAGTGTTATTCGTGCTATGGCTTTCGTTTAGTATCATTTGTATATTTTTGTTTTGTGAACGTCATGTCAATTACGTATCTGTTAACTAAACTTGTCAACCAAATTTAGTTAATCTGACTGTACACTTAAAATAGGTTCATTACATTAATACTCGACAAGGTCAGTTCATTAGTGATATGAACAATTACCAAAATTCAGTGGTTTTGTGCCCTCGATTACTGCGGGTAGTACTGTTTAGGACGATGCTAAATTGTGGTTTGTTTTTACATTTTTCATTGTAAAATAAAATTTCTTAAGCTGAGAGTGATGATCTTATAACATGATGAGAAATACGACTTTTCGCTATAAAAAAGCACTAAAAGATATAAAATTAGCAATGCATTCTGAACAGTCGCGAAACTACAATATTCCAAGAGGCAGTAATCAAAGATGATGAACACTTTTCTTATTGAAAGCATGTAAATAATAATAATATTTATTTTTGTTATACCTCACCATTTTCAAAATTTGTTTAGAGAAAATTTAAGTATCATAAACATGTAATTTGAGGGTTCAGATTTTGTTTTAGCACGAATTCCAACACGTCTCTTAATACGTTACTACAGCTAGCTCCTACTATGCACGATGACTACACGTTAAGTATGGGCATTAATTATACATAAAATCAATGAAAGAAGTAACTAGTTCTTATTTTATAAAAATTTATTTTATTTTTATAAAACGTTTGACAATAAAATCAAATTAAAAGCAAAATAATTATAAAAAAAAGCTAGCTACAACGTAAAACTTTTTGAAGTCAACAAATGAATTATTCGAATATATTTTTATAATTAATGTTTCAATTTGAATTTTGTGTTATAGACATGCATTTTGTTTATTTATTCTCATATTTGTTTTTTTTCATTCAAGATTTGAGTTACAGAAGCATTGAAAAAAACAATGAATGGGAGCATAGGTTGAGTTGAAAAAGGTCCTGCTTGCGTTCATGGTTCCTGCATGGCTTGAGTTAAAGAATGTTCTGCTTGCATCCGTGATGCCTGCATGGTTTGAGTTGGAGAAGATTGGACCAAAGCAAAGAATGTAGGCAAATGCTGCGTTGAAAAACGTCCTGTTTGCATTCGTTGTTCATCTAAAGTTTGTGTTGAAGAACTTCCCGCTTGCATCGCTAGTTCCAAAAGGGTTTGTGTTGAGGAAAGTCTGGCTTGCCTTGCTAGTTCGAAACCGGTATGCATTGAGCAAGTTTGTATTTGCACCACTGGTACCACACAGTTTTGCGTTGATTGAGTGTTCATACATGGTTTATTCATGGTTTGAGTTGACGAAAGTTCTGCTTGCATCGCTAGTTCCAAAAGGGTTTGTGTTGCGGATGGTTCTCCTTGCACTTGAGGTTCGTGCAGAGATTGTGTTGAGAATTGTCCTGCTTGTACTTGAGGTTCGTGCATAGTTTGTGTTGAGGATTGTCCTGCTTGTACTTGAGGTTCGTGCATAGTTTGTGTTGAGGATTGTCCTGCTTGCACTTGAGGATCGTGCAGAGTTTGTGCTGAGGATTGTCCTGTTTGCACTCGAGGTTCGTGCAGAGTTTGTGTTGAGAATTGTCCTGCTTGTACTTGAGGTTCGTGCATAGTTTGTGTTGAGGATTGTCCTGCTTGCAGTTGAGGTTCGTGCATAGTTTGTGTTGAAGTATATTTTCCTTTCAGATGTAAAAGTTTATAATGCAATTTATACTTGCTTTCTTCGACAAAATATTTTTCACATAGTTCGCAATAATAAGGAGGCCTTTCAGAAATGTTTGCCGTTTTCACATATGTTTCTAAATCTTTTAAATTTGAAAAGGTCTCTTGGCACCTTTCATCTTTGTGTTTACTTGTGCAAGAGTGACAAAGTGAAGATTGTTCGGAAAATGTCGTTCCGCAAGCTTCACAACGATATTTCATTTTTCCCGTAATTCGAGGCACTGTACAAAGGAATAAACTGTAAGTCAGGATCATGAGTTTTGAGCAATGATTTCCAGACAGTTATATATATACACTGACCAGGAGTCAATAGAAAAATTAAGTAAGAAATAGAAACGAAGTAGTGTTAAGAAGTATGGAGTGCGTAATAAAATAAGTGAAGCACGTTACAAGAAAGTATTTACGTGAAAAAAGATAAAAAAAAAAAATTCCCAAAATATGAAATGTGTAATCTAATGTTATTTTAACTAAGGCTCTCGTCTCATATTTTTTATGCTTCAATTCGCGTAGATGACGTACCAAGTGATAATCAATCACAGCTATCCTTAATTAAATTTTTTTAGAATAATTATTTAACACTATGGAGTTGTGGTAGGAAAAGTGCATAATAAGTATAGGTGTTCTAAATTATTATTTATGTAAATAGCAATGATATAAATAAAAAAATATTAATTTTATTCAGAAATTTTAAAGTATGTTATTCGTCTAACATGCTAATTTTCTTCAGTGATATTGATTACTCTCTTCAGTTTATTCATTTTGTTTAAATTGTCTTTAAGATGAGTAAAGGAATAGCAAATAAATATATAATTTCATCGAATGATGAATATTCTTATTATATTTGAAGTTCAAGCACTCATTCAAAGTGGAGAGCAGCAGTAAGCAAACAATGCTCAATTAATTAGCTGCTGACGATGCTTTTTACGAACACCAAATGTATATTATTACTTGTTTTAAACATCTCAAACATAATTAATAAATAAGAAAATATTTATTATACCCGAGAAATTTTCAAGAAACAAACAGATTTGATTAATGTATATAGAAATATGTGGGAATTAGTGACATAATTTTATTATTTCGAAAGAAGTTAGCAATTTATCAATATAATTTATATTTAAAATGCACAGAAAGATAAATTCTATACTTACGCAACTGTTTCTTGATTGACAAAACACAGAATTGCAAATTTGTCGTCTACAAGTATTGCTTCAATTGCTGTTTAGTTACCATAAATGTACTTTAATTGTATTTACGAGGAATGAATATAATTTTTGTTACTAATCAGCAATTTTATTTTTAATTCTTTTTTTTTACAAAAGTTGATAATATTTCCGAATTTTCGGCAAAGAATTGGTACTCCTATGTTAGTAATTTGCATAATTCGTTAGTTTACAGAATCTACTTCAGTAGTAAAGTACGAACAATTCCACTTTTTATATTTTTGAAATGACTTTAAAATATTGGTTCTAAATAAAAGTTTCTTTATATTACGAAGCTTATATAAAAAGCTTTTAAAATTTATCGAAGTTGAAAGTATTCACATTGAAATACATGGTCATGTGATAGTAAAGCGACATTAACGACGTGGCTGTTTCTTTGGTTTACTTATCTAACTGTGTTAATTTCGCTATATATTACAGTCGACCAGGCCGTGAGCCGTTCACAGCCTGGCACATGTATCTGTAAAATCTAAGTGACTCGTACAACATGGAATTCATATAAAACGGAATAATCAACAGTGTTATAGGGGGGGGTCGACTGTACCTGAAAGTTGTTCTTCTGCCAGTTTTGTTTCGTTAAGAAAAGTCCTGCTTTTATCCGTGGTTCCTGAAAGGTTTTTCGTGAAGAAGTCTTGCTTGTATTTGTGGGCTCTTCAAGGTTCGAGTTGCGAAAACGCCTAGTTGCATTTTACGTCCAGGAAGAAAGACAATGGAGTTACAACGTAAAATTTTGTAATGATGTAAAATTAGCAATGTATTTTGAACAGTCGCGAAACTACAATATTGAAAGAGGCAGCGATCAAAGATGATAAACACTTTTTTTTTATTGAAAGCCCGTAAATACAGTCGACCCCCTATAACACTGTAGATAATTCCGTTTTATATGAATTCCATGTTGTTCGAGTCACTTAGATTTTACAAATACGTGAGCAGTTCCCAGCCCGGCACACGTATTTATAAAATCTAAATGACTCGTACAACATGGAATTCATATAACACGGAATTATCTGCAATGTTATAGGGGGGTCTGCTTGTAATAATAATTATTATGGAGTTTCTTATCATTGTCAAAATTAGTGTAGAGAGAATTTAAGTATCAGAAACGTGTAATCCGAAGGTGCAGTTTTTGTTTTTACCACAAATTTTAATACTTCTATTATTTCGTGACTGCAGCAAGCCCCTACTATGTATGATAACTGCACGTTAAGTACGAGCAGAAATTATACGTAAAATCAATAAAGTACCCGGTTTTTTATTTTAAAGATGTATTTAATTTTTCTAAAACGTTTGACAATAAAGTCAATTAAAAGCACAAAAAACTTTTATTCTTTTCTTTTCGTTCAAGATTTGAGTTGCAGAAGGATGGAAGAGAGCAAAAATTGGGAGTATAGGTTGAATCGAAAAATGGCCTGTTTTTATCCATTTTTCTTGCAAGGTTTTAGCTGTTGAAAGCTTTGCATGCATTTATGGTTTGAGTTTACGAAGGCCCTGCTTTTTATCCATGGTTCCTGCAAGGTTTGAGTTGCGGGTAATCCTGCTTTTGTTCGTAGTTCTTGCAATGTTTGAGTTGAAAAATGTCCCGTTTAAATTTGTAGTTCCTGCATGGTTTGAGTTGACGAAGTTCTTATTTTCAACTATGGTTGTTGTAAGGTTTCAGTTGTAGAAGGCTTTGCTTGCTTCCTTGGTTGCTGCTATGTTTGAGTCGAAGATCTTGTTTGCATCGCTGATTTAATATGCGTTAGCGTTGAGGAAGATTCCTCTTGTATCAATGATTTCTGGAATGTTTGAGATGAGGGTGTTTTTCTCACTAGTTCCCTCAGGGTTAGGTTTGAAGAATGAAATATACAGTGCAATTTGTACATTATTTGTTAGGCAAAACTTTTATTACATTTTTCGCAATGATAATCAGACCTTTGAGATTTGTGTACTTTTTCTACGTGCTTCATTAATTTTATTTCACTTCATTTTCAAGTTTGTCTGTACATATTGTACCTTTATTTAGTTGTTTTTCTCTATGGTTTTTCTGTTGTTTTTTCTGGTGCTGTTTGGGAAGTTATTTTATTATTGCATCCACGCTTTCTCGTGGATTCAATAATTTCTCGTGGACATTTTTTATATGCGCTACGTTTTACGTACTTAGAAACACATTCTGTTTCTAAATAGGAACCACAAAGACAAGCCTTTAGTCTGTGCATAATTAGTAACGTGGATCTCTTTTTAATGTTTGGGAACTCTTGTGTAGGATATCAGCAAGTCCTAGATACGAGGTGTGCATCTAATGTCATTTGCAGAAGAATTAAAGGAAATTTTTTTCAATTTCTAGAGTATAATTCAATCCACTTCTAATGCAAAATTTACTAGGGACTGGTTTTTATCAAATGACGTGCATGTTATTCACTGGCCACACGTTCTCTTGATGTTAATCCCATAGAAAACATGTTTGGTGTCTTAGCAAGGTAAGTATGTAGGGATGGAAAGTAATATAAATCAGTAGAATCTGTAAAGATAACAATAACGGATGTTTGGCACGAAATCACAGATGAAAACAATGCCACATAGCGTTCAAGAATAATTAATAAACATGGTAAACGTATTGCTTGATAATACATAAAACCATTTATTTAAATATTGAAGTGGCGCTATTATTTTGGAACTAGTATATCCTATACAACATTGTTAAAATTCATTATCATCTAAATATATAAAATTACTGAATTGTCTTGCAAAACTTCCGCGGGCAAAGTCGCGGGTGACAGCTAATTATTATATAACACCTCCTGCTGAGAATGATGAGAATTGCCGACAATCAAATATCAAATGAACTGTTTTCAATTTGATAAATTTTCTGGAACGTTTACAATCTTTCTATAATCGAACCAATATGCAATAATAAATTCGAATTTAAAACGGTTCGAACATTTAGTTAAAAAATCGAAATACATAGCAATATTTTCTAACAATGTCTGTTATCAATTTAATACACCTAAGTACACAATGAAAACTAAACGTGGTTGAAAACAAAAAATCGCATCTAAAATAGTACAGTAGAAGCCGTTCTTCAGGTTAAGACTTAATTCTTTCCCTCTCCCCCCGCGGAAGGATTTCCGAAAATGCCTTCTTAGTGTGCGTTTCCATGACGTACCCTGTGTACCAAATTTTATTTCTTTACTTTCAGCGGTTTGCTCTGGGCGATGATGAATCAGTGATTCAGTCAGTCAGTCAGGACAAGTAATTTTATATATTTAGATTACTATGGTCGTTGAAATATTGAATATAAATGGTGTTTGATTGCAAAATTCCTGCGGGTAACAGCTAGTCATATGATATGATCATAAATTAATAGTCAAATTCTCTTTTATTGTTGTGTAATGTGCTTATAATTTCTTTATCGTCATTATTTCACAATGACTTTATCATTTCAGAACGGACTACACGTACAACGCAACAAAACCGAATTTTAAAATTCCATTCCCTGAGATATTCAAGATCAAAATTTAGCATGTAAAATCTATGGTTCATTGCTTGTTGCCAGTTGGTCGCGCACTACATGTTAAACAAATTTACGATTTTTCTCAATTTACATCGATCTTTACGATAATTTTTTTCGATCCATATGACATGCATTTAATATGAATGATGTGACTAAAATAAATTTTTTTAAACACGCACACGTGCGCGTGTTTTAATCAGTTGTCGAATCCACATGTAGGATGCTGGCCGAGTTTTGGGCATTTTAAACTTATTGTTTTTGTCAATTGTGACGTTAGAACATCCACGTAATTCCTTGAACTTGAGAGTTTTAAACTGCTTTTCACAAAACGTTAGAAGCAGGTGATCAGTTCGGTGTTTTCGTGTCAGGCTGAATTAGCAAAACTTACGCCGCTGAGTTCAGTTTAAATTTTTCCAAAAAACACCTAGTAATGCTGAAAAAACAAGACTTTTTGAAACGAATTATACGTAAGTTCTCAACAAACGGTCGATCGAAATTGCATAGCAAAGCTAAACTACTGAGAAACTCATACCACAGATATGAGTCATAAAACTGCTATTATTACCTGAAGTTAAAAGAGTTATTTCCAAACAGGTCACCCAAGGGTGCAGTTTTTGTTTTCGTCCCAAGTCCTATACATCCCAAATTACGTTACTGTGGCTAGCACTATTATCTATGATGTTTGCCTCTATTTAATGTGTGGTGTATACATTTGATCAAATCAATGGAGCATTGTTTTCAATTTATAAAGTTTTATTTTATTTTCGAACGCAATTGACAATAGAATCGATTTAAAACACAAAAAGTTCCCAAATTACGAAAGAATTTTAACACATTACAGTACAACTAGGAATTTTAACATACTTGGTACTAATTATTTTAATATACTTTTATAATTGAATTTTCAAAAGTTTGTATTTTAAACATTTTGTTTATTTAGTTTCACATTTACTTTTTCCCTCTTCGTCAAGAGTTTGAGTTGAAAGAGGATGCCCGAAAATAAAAAAATGAGGGCAAAGGTCCTGCTTGCATTTACGGTTCCTGCAAGGTTTCTGTTGAGGAAGAACTTGCTTCTTGTGTCTGTGGTTTGTGCAGAGCTTGAAATGAAGGTTTTGCTTTTTACCGTGGTACCTACAAGGCTCTAGGTAAGGAACGTCTTGCTTTCTTCCGTGATACCTGCATGGCTTTAAGTGAGGAAGAACTTGCTTGTGTTAGTGGTTCCTGCATAGCTTGAGATAAAAGTTTTGCTTTCTTCTGTGGTACCTGAAAGGCCTTAGGTAAGTAACTTCTTGCTTTCTTCCGTGATACCTGCATTGCTTTAAGTGAGGAAGGTTTTGCTTGGATCCGTGGTACTTCCGGTACCTGCAAGGTATCAATTTCAGGTGAGGAAACTTTCAAGATATCTACTTCAGGTGAAGAAACCCTCAAGATATCAATTTCAGGAGAGGAAACTCTCAAGATTTCAATTTCAGATGAGGAAGATCTTGTTTGCACCTCCAACAGTTTATATCGAGAACGTCTTGCTCTTCTCATTAGATTCTTCGAGGTTCGATGAAGTGTACAATGAATCTTATACATTGTTATATCATCAAACTGTTTATTACATATTTCACAAATATAATTAGACCTTTTAGATTTGTGTACACTTTTTACATGGTTTTGTAAATCTCCATCATTCTCAAATATCTGTTTGCAAGTTATACATGTATATTGTTGTTTTCCTGTATGTCTGTTTTGATGCTGTTCGAAAGCTTTTCTTACAGTGAATCCACGATTGCATATTTCGCACATATGCCAGCTCACTTCTGAGTGGATTTTCTTATGTATATCTAAATATTTTAAATCTTGAAATACTAGTAAGCATCTATCACACTTGAATGTCTTTTTTGCATGAGTCGTCTGATGATCAAGATATGCACTTTTTTCAGAAAATGTCATTCCGCAATCTGAACACGTATATTCCATTTTTTTGCATTGGGAAGCAATAAAATACACATTAGTCGAGAATACGAGTTCTGAACAATAGATTCCAGATAGTAATATACACCTAGTATTAAATAAAGGATTGAAAGAGGAAATCGAAAAACGTAGTAGTAGTTAAGAAGTATGAAATGCGTAATAAAATAAGTGATACGATGACATGACGTAACTTCCTGTTTACACCGAAAGATACTATATAGTTAATTTGGGCCTTCNCTTGTTTATTCCACTCTGTTGATACGTAGAATGGTATGGTCTCACTTCAAGCTGACATTCATTGCACTGATGTCGATTTATCTTAAATCCATATCCTTTTCTCTGTAAGCAGACAGTAACTGAGTGGCTAAAACAATTAACAACTAGTCACAGGTTCTTGCCTGATTAACGGGTTGGCCACGCAGAAGTTTCCTGATTTTCTTAATTTATCTAACACTTAATTGGGATCAGTTTTCCATATAAAGTCCTTCCCGGAAGCATCCTTCCTTAGCAGATCGTGAAAGATTTGAATGCCTAATCCTTTTTAATCGTACAACATAATGCAACATGTTTTGTATGTTAACCATGTTAACCTTTTGCTATGTGTTTTCCTTTGTTTTTGCTTTCCCGGAAGTTGTAAAATAAGTGTTATTCGTGCTATGGCTTTCGTTTAGTATCATTTGTATATTTTTGTTTTGTGAACGTCATGTCAATTACGTATCTGTTAACTAAACTTGTCAACCAAATTTAGTTAATCTGACTGTACACTTAAAATAGGTTCATTACATTAATACTCGACAAGGTCAGTTCATTAGTGATATGAACAATTACCAAAATTCAGTGGTTTTGTGCCCTCGATTACTGCGGGTAGTACTGTTTAGGACGATGCTAAATTGTGGTTTGTTTTTACATTTTTCATTGTAAAATAAAATTTCTTAAGCTGAGAGTAATGATCTTATAACATGATGAGAAATACGACTTTTCGCTATAAAAAAGCACTAAAAGATATAAAATTAGCAATGCATTCTGAACAGTCGCGAAACTACAATATTCCAAGAGGCAGTAATCAAAGATGATGAACACTTTTCTTATTGAAAGCATGTAAATAATAATAATATTTATTTTTGTTATACCTCACCATTTTCAAAATTTGTTTAGAGAAAATTTAAGTATCATAAACATGTAATTTGAGGGTTCAGATTTTGTTTTAGCACGAATTCCAACACGTCTCTTAATACGTTACTACAGCTAGCTCCTACTATGCACGATGACTACACGTTAAGTATGGGCATTAATTATACATAAAATCAATGAAAGAAGTAACTAGTTCTTATTTTATAAAAATTTATTTTATTTTTATAAAACGTTTGACAATAAAATCAAATTAAAAGCAAAATAATTATAAAAAAAAAGCTAGCTACAACGTAAAACTTTTTGAAGTCAACAAATGAATTATTCGAATATATTTTTATAATTAATGTTTCAATTTGAATTTTGTATTATAGACATGCATTTTGTTTATTTATTCTCATATTTGTTTTTTTTTCCATTCAAGATTTGAGTTACAGAAAGATTGAAAAAAAACAATGAATGGGAGCATAGGTTGAGTTGAAAAAGGTCCTGCTTGCGTTCATGGTTCCTGCATGGCTTGAGTTAAAGAATGTTCTGCTTGCATCCGTGATGCCTGCATGGTTTGAGTTGGAGAAGATTGGACCAAAGCAAAGAATGTAGGCAAATGCTGCGTTGAAAAACGTCCTGTTTGCATTCGTTGTTCATCTAAAGTTTGTGTTGAAGAACTTCCCGCTTGCATCGCTAGTTCCAAAAGGGTTTGTGTTGAGGAAAGTCTGGCTTGCCTTGCTAGTTCGAAACCGGTATGCATTGAGCAAGTTTGTATTTGCACCACTGGTACCACACAGTTTTGCGTTGATTGAGTGTTCATACATGGTTTATTCATGGTTTGAGTTGACGAAAGTTCTGCTTGCATCGCTAGTTCCAAAAGGGTTTGTGTTGCGGATGGTTCTCCTTGCACTTGAGGTTCGTGCAGAGATTGTGTTGAGAATTGTCCTGCTTGTACTTGAGGTTCGTGCATAGTTTGTGTTGAGGATTGTCCTGCTTGCAGTTGAGGTTCGTGCATAGTTTGTGTTGAAGTATATTTTCCTTTCAGATGTAAAAGTTTATAATGCAATTTATACTTGCTTTCTTCGACAAAATATTTTTCACATAGTTCGCAATAATAAGGAGGCCTTTCAGAAATGTTTGCCGTTTTCACATATGTTTCTAAATCTTTTAAATTTGAAAAGGTCTCTTGGCACCTTTCATCTTTGTGTTTACTTGTGCAAGAGTGACAAAGTGAAGATTGTTCGGAAAATGTCGTTCCGCAAGCTTCACAACGATATTTCATTTTTCCCGTAATTCGAGGCACTGTACAAAGGAATAAACTGTAAGTCAGGATCATGAGTTTTGAGCAATGATTTCCAGACAGTTATATATATACACTGACCAGGAGTCAATAGAAAAATTAAGTAAGAAATAGAAACGAAGTAGTGTTAAGAAGTATGGAGTGCGTAATAAAATAAGTGAAGCACGTTACAAGAAAGTATTTACGTGAAAAAAGATAAAAAAAAAAAATTCCCAAAATATGAAATGTGTAATCTAATGTTATTTTAACTAAGGCTCTCGTCTCATATTTTTTATGCTTCAATTCGCGTAGATGACGTACCAAGTGATAATCAATCACAGCTATCCTTAATTAAATTTTTTTAGAATAATTATTTAACACTATGGAGTTGTGGTAGGAAAAGTGCATAATAAGTATAGGTGTTCTAAATTATTATTTATGTAAATAGCAATGATATAAATAAAAAAATATTAATTTTATTCAGAAATTTTAAAGTATGTTATTCGTCTAACATGCTAATTTTCTTCAGTGATATTGATTACTCTCTTCAGTTTATTCATTTTGTTTAAATTGTCTTTAAGATGAGTAAAGGAATAGCAAATAAATATATAATTTCATCGAATGATGAATATTCTTATTATATTTGAAGTTCAAGCACTCATTCAAAGTGGAGAGCAGCAGTAAGCAAACAATGCTCAATTAATTAGCTGCTGACGATGCTTTTTACGAACACCAAATGTATATTATTACTTGTTTTAAACATCTCAAACATAATTAATAAATAAGAAAATATTTATTATACCCGAGAAATTTTCAAGAAACAAACAGATTTGATTAATGTATATAGAAATATGTGGGAATTAGTGACATAATTTTATTATTTCGAAAGAAGTTAGCAATTTATCAATATAATTTATATTTAAAATGCACAGAAAGATAAATTCTATACTTACGCAACTGTTTCTTGATTGACAAAACACAGAATTGCAAATTTGTCGTCTACAAGTATTGCTTCAATTGCTGTTTAGTTACCATAAATGTACTTTAATTGTATTTACGAGGAATGAATATAATTTTTGTTACTAATCAGCAATTTTATTTTTAATTCTTTTTTTTTACAAAAGTTGATAATATTTCCGAATTTTCGGCAAAGAATTGGTACTCCTATGTTAGTAATTTGCATAATTCGTTAGTTTACAGAATCTACTTCAGTAGTAAAGTACGAACAATTCCACTTTTTATATTTTTGAAATGACTTTAAAATATTGGTTTTAAATAAAAGTTTCTTTATATTACGAAGCTTATATAAAAAGCTTTTAAAATTTATCGAAGTTGAAAGTATTCACGTTGAAATACATGGTCATGTGATAGTAAAGCGACATTAACGACGTGGCTGTTTCTTTGGTTTACTTATCTAACTGTGTTAATTTCGCTATATATTACAGTCGACCAGGCCGTGAGCCGTTCACAGCCTGGCACATGTATCTGTAAAATCTAAGTGACTCGTACAACATGGAATTCATATAAAACGGAATAATCAACAGTGTTATAGGGGGGGGTCGACTGTACCTAAAAGTTGTTCTTCTGCCAGTTTTGTTTCGTTAAGAAAAGTCCTGCTTTTATCCGTGGTTCCTGAAAGGTTTTTCGTGAAGAAGTCTTGCTTGTATTTGTGGGCTCTTCAAGGTTCGAGTTGCGAAAACGCCTAGTTGCATTTTACGTCCAGGAAGAAAGACAATGGAGTTACAACGTAAAATTTTGTAATGATGTAAAATTAGCAATGTATTTTGAACAGTCGCGAAACTACAATATTGAAAGAGGCAGCGATCAAAGATGATAAACACTTTTTTTTATTGAAAGCCCGTAAATACAGTCGACCCCCTATAACACTGTAGATAATTCCGTTTTATATGAATTCCATGTTGTTCGAGTCACTTAGATTTTACAAATACGTGAGCAGTTCCCAGCCCGGCACACGTATTTATAAAATCTAAATGACTCGTACAACATGGAATTCATATAACACGGAATTATCTGCAATGTTATAGGGTGGTCTGCTTGTAATAATAATTATTATGGAGTTTCTTATCATTGTCAAAATTAGTGTAGAGAGAATTTAAGTATCAGAAACGTGTAATCCGAGGGTGCAGTTTTTGTTTTTACCACAAATTTTAATACTTCTATTATTTCGTGACTGCAGCAAGCCCCTACTATGTATGATAACTGCACGTTAAGTACGAGCAGAAATTATACGTAAAATCAATAAAGTACCCGGTTTTTTATTTTAAAGATGTATTTAATTTTTCTAAAACGTTTGACAATAAAGTCAATTAAAAGCACAAAAGACTTTTATTCTTTTCTTTTCGTTCAAGATTTGAGTTGCAGAAGGATGGAAGAGAGCAAAAATTGGGAGTATAGGTTGAATCGAAAAATGGCCTGTTTTTATCCATTTTTCTTGCAAGGTTTTAGCTGTTGAAAGCTTTGCATGCATTTATGGTTTGAGTTTACGAAGGCCCTGCTTTTTATCCATGGTTCCTGCAAGGTTTGAGTTGCGGGTAATCCTGCTTTTGTTCGTAGTTCTTGCAATGTTTGAGTTGAAAAATGTCCCGTTTAAATTTGTAGTTCCTGCATGGTTTGAGTTGACGAAGTTCTTATTTTCAACTATGGTTGTTGTAAGGTTTCAGTTGTAGAAGGCTTTGCTTGCATCCTTGGTTGCTGCTATGTTTGAGTCGAAGATCTTGTTTGCATCGCTGATTTAATACGCGTTAGCGTTGAGGAAGATTCCTCTTGTATCAATGATTTCTGGAATGTTTGAGATGAGGGTGTTTTTCTCACTAGTTCCCTCAGGGTTAGGTTTGAAGAATGAAATATACAGTGCAATTTGTACATTATTTGTTAGGCAAAACTTTTATTACATTTTTCGCAATGATAATCAGACCTTTGAGATTTGTGTACTTTTTCTACGTGCTTCATTAATTTTATTTCACTTCATTTTCAAGTTTGTCTGTACATATTGTACCTTCATTTAGTTGTTTTTCTCTATGGTTTTTCTGTTGTTTTTTCTGGTGCTGTTTGGGAAGTTATTTTATTATTGCATCCACGCTTTCTCGTGGATTCAATAATTTCTCGTGGACATTTTTTATATGCGCTACGTTTTACGTACTTAGAAACACATTCTGTTTCTAAATAGGAACCACAAAGACAAGCCTTTAGTCTGTGCATAATTAGTAACGTGGATCTCTTTTTAATGTTTGGGAACTCTTGTGTAGGATATCAGCAAGTCCTAGATACGAGGTGTGCATCTAATGTCATTTGCAGAAGAATTAAAGGAAATTTTTTTCAATTTCTAGAGTATAATTCAATCCACTTCTAATGCAAAATTTACTAGGGACTGGTTTTTATCAAATGACGTGCATGTTATTCACTGGCCACACGTTCTCTTGATGTTAATCCCATAGAAAACATGTTTGGTGTCTTAGCAAGGTAAGTATGTAGGGATGAAAAGTAATATAAATCAGTAGAATCTGTAAAGATAACAATAACGGATGTTTGGCACGAAATCACAGATGAAAACAATGCCACATAGCGTTCAAGAATAATTAATAAACATGGTAAACGTATTGCTTGATAATACATAAAACCATTTATTTAAATATTGAAGTGGCGCTATTATTTTGGAACTAGTATATCCTATACAACATTGTTAAAATTCATTATCATCTAAATATATAAAATTACTGAATTGTCTTGCAAAACTTCCGCGGGCAAAGTCGCGGGTAACAGCTAATTATTATATAACACCTCCTGCTGAGAATGATGAGAATTGCCGACAATCAAATATCAAATGAACTGTTTTCAATTTGATAAATTTTCTGGAACGTTTACAATCTTTCTATAATCGAACCAATATGCAATAATAAATTCGAATTTAAAACGGTTCGAACATTTAGTTAAAAAATCGAAATACATAGCAATATTTTCTAACAATGTCTGTTATCAATTTAATACACCTAAGTACACAATGAAAACTAAACGTGGTTGAAAACAAAAAATCGCATAGTACAGTAGAAGCCGTTCTTCAGGTTAAGACTTAATTCTCTCCCTCTCCCCCCGCAGGATTTCCGAAAATGCCTTAGTGTGCGTTTCCATGACGTACCCTGTGTACCAAATTTTATTTCTTTACTTTCAGCGGTTTGCTCTGGGCGATGATGAATCAGTGATTCAGTCAGTCAGTCAGGACAAGTAATTTTATATATTTAGATTACTATGGTCGTTGAAATATTGAATATAAATGGTGTGTGATTGCAAAATTCCTGCGGGTAACAGCTAGTCATATGATATGATCATAAATTAATAGTCAAATTCTCTTTTATTGTTGTGTAATGTGCTTATAATTTCTTTATCGTCATTATTTCACAATGACTTTATCATTTCAGAACGGACTACACGTACAACGCAACAAAACCGAATTTTAAAATTCCATTCCCTGAGATATTCAAGATCAAAATTTAGCATGTAAAATCTATGGTTCATTGCTTGTTGCCAGTTGGTCGCGCACTACATGTTAAACAAATTTACGATTTTTCTCAATTTACATCGATCTTTACGATAATTTTTTTCGATCCATATGACATGCATTTAATATGAATGATGTGACTAAAATAAATTTTTTTAAACACGCACACGTGCGCGTGTTTTAATCAGTTGTCGAATCCACATGTAGGATGCTGGCCGAGTTTTGGGCATTTTAAACTTATTGTTTTTGTCAATTGTGACGTTAGAACATCCACGTAATTCCTTGAACTTGAGAGTTTTAAACTGCTTTTCACAAAACGTTAGAAGCAGGTGATCAGTTCGGTGTTTTCGTGTCAGGCTGAATTAGCAAAACTTACGCCGCTGAGTTCAGTTTAAATTTTTCCAAAAAACACCTAGTAATGCTGAAAAAACAAGACTTTTTGAAACGAATTATACGTAAGTTCTCAACAAACGGTCGATCGAAATTGCATAGCAAAGCTAAACTACTGAGAAACTCATACCACAGATATGAGTCATAAAACTGCTATTATTACCTGAAGTTAAAAGAGTTATTTCCAAACAGGTCACCCAAGGGTGCAGTTTTTGTTTTCGTCCCAAGTCCTATACATCCCAAATTACGTTACTGTGGCTAGCACTATTATCTATGATGTTTGCCTCTATTTAATGTGTGGTGTATACATTTGATCAAATCAATGGAGCATTGTTTTCAATTTATAAAGTTTTATTTTATTTTCGAACGCAATTGACAATAGAATCGATTTAAAACACAAAAAGTTCCCAAATTACGAAAGAATTTTAACACATTACAGTACAACTAGGAATTTTAACATACTTGGTACTAATTATTTTAATATACTTTTATAATTGAATTTTCAAAAGTTTGTATTTTAAACATTTTGTTTATTTAGTTTCACATTTACTTTTTCCCTCTTCGTCAAGAGTTTGAGTTGAAAGAGGATGCCCGAAAATAAAAAAATGAGGGCAAAGGTCCTGCTTGCATTTACGGTTCCTGCAAGGTTTCTGTTGAGGAAGAACTTGCTTCTTGTGTCTGTGGTTTGTGCAGAGCTTGAAATGAAGGTTTTGCTTTTTACCGTGGTACCTACAAGGCTCTAGGTAAGGAACGTCTTGCTTTCTTCCGTGATACCTGCATGGCTTTAAGTGAGGAAGAACTTGCTTGTGTTAGTGGTTCCTGCATAGCTTGAGATAAAAGTTTTGCTTTCTTCTGTGGTACCTGAAAGGCCTTAGGTAAGTAACTTCTTGCTTTCTTCCGTGATACCTGCATTGCTTTAAGTGAGGAAGGTTTTGCTTGGATCCGTGGTACTTCCGGTACCTGCAAGGTATCAATTTCAGGTGAGGAAACTTTCAAGATATCTACTTCAGGTGAAGAAACCCTCAAGATATCAATTTCAGGAGAGGAAACTCTCAAGATTTCAATTTCAGATGAGGAAGATCTTGTTTGCACCTCCAACAGTTTATATCGAGAACGTCTTGCTCTTCTCATTAGATTCTTCGAGGTTCGATGAAGTGTACAATGAATCTTATACATTGTTATATCATCAAACTGTTTATTACATATTTCACAAATATAATTAGACCTTTTAGATTTGTGTACACTTTTTACATGGTTTTGTAAATCTCCATCATTCTCAAA